CGTGCTCCATTCCCCTACCCAAAAGTAAAGCAGAATCTTCTCGCCGACCTTCTTTTCATCCCCTCTGTCGTTCTCCTGGACAAGTCCCATGAACCATTCCCCAGCCAGGAAAACCCATAATCTGCTTGTTGATATTCCTCCATCGTTCCCTGCACACCTCCCATCGTTCCACTTCCTAGAAACAAATCATGGACCCGTCAACCCTCTAGTCATTCCTTTATCCCGATCGCTCCTATCTCTTTTGGAGAAAAAGGTGGGGTCGGCCTTTTTCCTCTCTGTCGGTCCGGAGAAGAGAAGAAACTCGAACTCCCATTCCCGCTCTTCGGTTGGTAAGAGAAGTAGATTAGACGATGAATGAATTGTAAAAAATAACAAACAACAACACAATAGCATGAGGCGAATGGAGATAAACTCCTGTAACTGTTAACTTTAAAAAGCACAACACAGAAGTAGAGTGAGAGAGGTGAGCATGAGAGTATGCAAAGAGAAGGAGAGGAGTTACCGAGAATAATGCGGTGTCGCCGCCTGAATCGCGTCAGTTAGATCTGAGCTACCTACCTCTGCCTCCTTCGCTGCGCAAGACCTCATCGGTTGATCCCCAAATGTCGATCTGTTGTTGGGAACTTTTTCGTTGAAGAATCTGATGGGAGCCGAGTTGCTATTGGAGATTGGGGTTTCCTCTCTATTTTGGTGTTCCTTTTTTCTTCTTCAGATTGTTGCAGAGAGAGGGAGAGATCGAAAAATGGGAGAGAAAGGGATAGCATAGATGATGAAATTGAGTGGTTGGTAAAATCGGAATAAAGAAAATAGACAATCCACAAGAGAAAGAAAAAACAAAAACAAAAAACAAACGACAAACTCAGTTCAAGCTCCGCACACACATGGAGCAAACACGAAAAGTCTTAAACAAAAACACACTATGAGGGGCGACGAGTACAGACTACTCGTCGCCAAGGTTGTCCAAATAGATGTCGTTCATGAAGGCATCATCATCATCAGCTGGCGGGGGTGGAAGTGGAGAGTCCTCCCAGGGAGTCCTCCAGACTGGCTGCTCGCCCGGTAGCAGCTGGAGCAGGTGCTGCTGGACCTCCCACATACGCCGAGATCGGCCTCGCTCCCTCTCAATGTGGGCAAGGGTCACCCCATGCTGGGCCTCCATGCGGTCGAGGCGCTCGTTATAAGCATCCATCCTAGTCTTATACTCGGCCTGGTGATCCGAATACTGCTGCTGGAACTGGATATGATGGTCGAGGAGCTGCTGATTCTGGAGACTCAGCTACTGGAACTGGTGAGTGAAGTAGTCCTGTCCTGGGAAAGTGGAACTGCTACCCCCGTACTCGAAGGTGGTCTGGCGGGGAGCAGCAGCAATGTCCACATCGTCGGGGTGGACATCCTTAGTGGCCTCATCCGCAGGAGCATCGGCCTGGTCCTCCGCTGGGAGGGGTGGAGCAGGAAACCCCTCGATCCACTTGACGCCGCGCTCGACTCGGAGCAAGTGCATATGCTGGATCGTGACTTCGCCGCAGACAATGGTGTCCCCCTGCTCTGTGCAACCCTGCAGAGGAATCTGGAAGTAGGTGGCCAGGCGGGTGATGAGGGGAGTGCAGTGTAGGCTCAGCAGTTCTGAAGCACTCTTGTCAAAAGTCCTGGCCACCACAGAACCCAGGTGGAGAGGGTGGTTCGCCGTGCAGATGGACTGGATGAAGTACATGGACCACATGGTGAGGGTGTTGGAACTGTCCCCAGCTGGAGTGTAGGACTTCGCCAGCATGTGGTGGAGAATGCGGTTATCGAGCTGTAGGGTGCTAGCCTTTGTCCACCCTACAACGAAAGGACGCTGACCAGGCTGAGCTAGGCGGGTGTGCAGCACCTTGAAATTCACACCCACTGGATCGTTGAGCTCGGTGACGTAATCCTTGTCATCGTCCAGGCCGAGGTCGAGAGCGACCGCCAAGTCGTCCAGGCCAAAAGAGCCATAAAAAAGGTTAATCACACCCCCACACTTGATAACAGAAAACAGTCGAACCATGGTTTCATCCATAGTTCGGGGGTCAATAACTCGATCAAACAAGCACAATCTGGGTGGGGGTGCACATCCACAATGAAGTAGGCAACTTAAGGTTCACCATAGAAAATACACCATCAAAGCACAACAGTAAGGGCCCCAACCGGCTCCCATAAAATGGTATGAAAAACTGGCATTTCATCGAACACCTTGTGTGCACTATTAAGTTAAGCAAGGAATTGGCAAAATTCTAGCACACAAGGGCTCAAATAAGCATGGGAAACATTGCCCAACACAATTCACACATAAACCAAGCCTTCCCTCAATCAATTGCACACAATTCACACATTGCAAAGTTGTTCTCTAAATATACACCCAATTCTCCACAATTCACAAGGTAAAGGGCAAAATCAAACCTGGAGACACAAGTAGAGGTGTAAGGAATGATGAGGGGAAGGCAATGGAAGCGACGAAAACTCCAAAATCTGCCCGGAAATGCTCGTCGGAGCCTCGCCGGAGTCTTGCCAGAAATCGCCTATGGCGACTCAAAATCGGTCCAAATCGCCTCAAAATCGGTCCAAATCGCCTCAAAATCGAGGGATAAGCCGAAAATGGGGAGGAAAGGTTGGGTGTGGTGTTGGTTTGGTGAAAAATCGACAAAAAATGGCCGGAAAATCCCCAAAGAGGTGAAAAGTTGTGGTTTTCCGGCAAGGGGGAGAGGATTCCGGCAAGGGATGTGGGATTTTCTGGCGACGCGGCCGTGTCGGCCGAATTTATAGGCGCCGGCTCGGCCACACAGGCATGCCCACACGGCCGTGTGAGGTGTAAAAGTGCCCGTGTGTGGCCAAGGAAATCACACGGCCTGGCCGAGGGATTTCACACGGCCGCGTGAAAGAGCAATTCTGGCCGTGTGGAAATCACCGAGCCTTCACACGGCCTGAGGCCAATTCCACACGGCCGTGTGAGGGACCCCTGCTGCCCGTGTGGAATTTACAGGGACTTCACACGGCCAAAAGCCAATTCCACACGGCCGTGTGGAATTTAGGCATGAAAGTGTGGAATTCCAGATCCCCGAATCAGACTTGTTTTCGCGCAAATTCGACATTCGAACCTTGGACAACACCTCAAGACTAAAAAACAAAAAAAATCAAAAAGAAAAAGGAAAGGAAAGGAAATTCAATCCTAGGTGGGGTTGCCTCCCCACAAGCGCTTCTTTACCGTCTTTTAGTTGGACGCCAGTAGAGGAACTAAGGGTTTGAGCATTGCTGATCTCCACTGCACCGTGCGGGAAAACTTAGGTGACCGTGAAGGGTACTGACACGCCAAAACACAACACCAAACTGCGACCAATTGTAATCGCAGTCCGGGAATGCAGTAACAGGCAAGTTCTATTATCAACCCGGGGTCTAGATCTACTGCTTACTCCGTGATTATCTATTATCTAGCAAACTAATTCGAGTGATTGTTGTTTAAAGCAAAAGCAGTAAGAAAGCCGAAAATGGTTCGGTTTTCTAAAGCAGGAAAGAATCACTCGGGAATGAGTCCCCCTAGACCCTTAGTTAGGTTCAATTGTAATTCCCCTGGGTTGATTCACTGTTGATTAGACTGCGGAAGATCCGACAGTAGCTTGGAATCTCTTAAGCTGACCAAGCCCTCTCAGTCTAGCTACCCGGCAGACGACTAGTCTTCACCGGGATAGAAAGCTGAAGCAATAAGCACAGAACTCCACTACTGGAGTTGAATTCCAGTACAAAGCAGTAAACTGGCTAACTCTCATATAGCCAATCTCCTACTATCGAATGAAGAGGCTCAAACAACCTAATCAGATTCTATCTGTCTCAGGTTGCAGCAAAAATCGAGAAAAGCTGATCAGGCTTCAAACAATTCAATAAACATGCATCATTCGATTAAAATCAAACAGTATAATCATCCCAAGTCATTACAATCAAATCCCTAACACAAGGAACTAGGGTTCTTCATACCCAAGTGAGAGAAGGGTTCTACTCCATAGAGAGAAAGGAGAAAACAGTAATCGGAGTAGTCATACTCATAATGATGAGGAGAATCTGCTCCGGGATGATGATTTCCACTCCTATGACGATCTCCAAGCTCGATTCGATGAAACCCAGCTCCAAGATAGCTTCCAGGATGTGTTCTTCGTACTTTCTCTCTCTAGGGCTCTGTTTTTTGCTCTGAAAATCCGATCCTCTCACTTCTGGCTCGAAATTGGCTGAAAAACCAGAATTTCCCGACTCACACGGGCAGGCCATATGGCCGTGTGGCTCACCCATTTGGCCGTGTGAGTCGAAACGCGCCGTATCACTTAGGTCGATCTTCAGCCATCCCATGAACCCTAGGTAAACATATAATTCCCTAGGTAAACATATAATTCCAACGAGTCACAGAATGGAATAGAAACATATAATTCCACCTGCATAGCAGAAATGGGAAGGCTATATAATTCCACCTATCTTCAAATTTCTTTATGGGGTTCTGTTTGGTTCACTCGGGAATCTAATTGTCTTTCTTCATTCATTTGATTATTACATGGGTTGTCTTTCTTTCCCTCGTTTGTTTGGTCAAGTTTGGAGCTTTTTATGTGTTTCCAGGAGAAAGGGTCGAGTGAGATTGTGATTAAAGCAATGAGCAGAGGCTGGGTGTGGCCGTGATTGTCTTCTGGTTGGGTAGTGGGCAGCGGGCAGTGGCCAGTGGGTGCTGGGTTGCTGGTGGGTAGGAAAAATCAACCTTTAATTAGCGGGCGGGTATAACGGGGCGGGTATTATCGATTACCATACCCGTACCCTACCCTTTATTTTGAAACCGGGTATTACCCGTACCCGCCCCTTAACCCGTCAAAGCGGGTAATTACCCTCGTTGACCGGTTACGGTCGGGTAGGATACCCATGGTTACGGGTTGAATTGACATCCCTACCCGTGGTAGTGAAACGTTTCACTATCAAAACCCACAAAAGAAATACGAACAGAAGCAGAGGAAAGGAAATGGAGAAGGATGGAATGGTGAGGGATGATATTTTGAGGCTACTGCCTCTGCCTTTTATAGGCTAGCAAGGAAGAGGGGATTAATGCTAGTGGTTGGATTGCCAACCGTCATCTCCTCCCTCAATTTAAGTTTTTTTTTTCTTCTCTACCACATGAGAAGGGCACAACAGTTCGGGATCAATTGCAACATCCCACCAGCACGCTGGATCCTTGTTGTTCTGCTGTAAGGATCTTTATTGATGAATCTGGCGAAGGAATGGAACGAAGAAGAAGATACAGAAGAAGGGAAAGAGTTCTGGAATTCAAGCTAACTAAACTGAAAGAGTAGAGTAGATACAGTTTGTTTATTGGGTAAAAGATGACCACAGTAAAGAAGGCCTTCCTATTTATACTGAATGGCTCTCTGTCCACGTCACTACCAGTGTCTTCCGGGTTGTTACAAACCCTCTCCCTTGAAAAACAGCTTGTCCTCAAGCTGTAGCTAAGCCAAGACCTGAGCTGGCGCAAGCTTCAAGGAGTTGTCCTATCCTGGCAGTTGCAAGGCAGCTTGAGGAACGGTAGACCACCTGCAACTACTTGTCCATTCAGTAGTCACCCCTAGTACACGGAGCCAAAACCTCCCCTTCCAAGCTTGTTAGCGGGAGAGAAATTGTTGGTAGCAGCTCGAATGTCATTGAGGTTGAAGAATGGCAACTCGGGGTATACTGAATGACCCTCCATTTCCTCCCCACCCACAGAATCCTTGAAGTGGTTGGACCATCAATTGGACGGAACAAATATCTGGTCCTTCTTTTCTTTACCGATCTGATTTGCCGCTTCCTGAGCCAGAAGATGGCAAACACAAAAACACGAAGCCCTGCTGAACCAATAGATGACATAAGAATGCTCAACTTCAACTTCAACTCAAGTGAATCGTTAAATCCCCCTTGAAACTTAGCAAATTCCACTGCCTCAACTCGAACATACAAATCCTGGAAACTAGCAGGGAAATACACTATATCCACCGGTTCTCCATACCACAACAGCAACATTGTATTCAGAGCAACATCTATTTCAGTATATGCAGAACCTGAACAGTTCTTCCTGCACTTACGTTCGCAGCTCAGTTCCCCGCTATCATCCTTCCCAATCCAAACTGCCCCTGAACTATCAACCCACAAGAATCCTCTCCCAGTTAGTAGAAAGGACAAGTAGTGCTCAGTCAAAGAAAGCTGGGCTTGTAGATCATCCAACACGGTATCATTAGAGCTCTGTGTAAGCTTCATGAACGGTAGAAGATTAGGACTCAGTATCACAGCCAACTTGCAGAAACTCTCGAAATTCATGAAGTTCAGTTCTGGATGCTGATTCCTGTGATAGTACTTGTACAGCAACACAACCGCATGAATCTGTTTGACTATGATTTCTTCATAAGCTAGAGACGGTGTGAATCCGGATCTAGATTTTGCCAGCAGCTTGAGGTCAACCAGACTTCCACACAGTGCAAGAATGGCCTTCTTGGTCTGGCAAACTTCAGTTCCCTCCATATTCCATACACAGCGACACTCACCCTGTCCAGAGTCTTTCGCCAAGCTCTTAATCAAGCCCAGAAGCTGCTTGAACGCCAATGCTTCGTGAAGCCAAGCGGTGTAGGGTCCTTGCAAGCTAAGAACAGGGCCTCTCCACTTAGAATAAACCCAAGAGTAACACAAACAGATTTCAACACCAGAATGGAAGACCTCCCATGAGTTCACAGTGACATCCCAAGGTCGAGACATACAAGCGATTGATCGATAATCACAGTCCTTATAAGGGCCTTTGAAATCAGGAGGATTCCTACTTCCATGGAAATGCTTAAGGATGCCATAGTAAGTTGGGAAGACCCGAAACTCAGAACCCCAACTGGCATTGCTGGACACGATAGGGTAAGGAAAGAACCGAAAAACAAACATAGTAGGACAAGGATAACACAAAATGAAAGCTGCCTCTTCAAAAGTAAGAATCTGATCAATGACCACTGCAAAAATCATCTCCTGGTTAAGATTACCAGCAGAGGAATCAAAAACGACACTATTAATCCAAGGCATGCTTTTAGTAGTAGTGAGATGGGAAACCCCAAAGCTTGCTTGCAGAGGCCCGTGAGATGACTTCGCTGCTTGCGTATCTGAACTATTCTTGTGAGCCACAGTACTGGCAAACGAAGAGCCTGAACTCCCAACGCCAATATTAACAGTAGAAGAAACTGCTGCCGACCCCATTACAGGAGATGAATTCCGTTCAAGATTGTGGACTAGGGTGGCACTTGTCTCGCCATTCTCACACAACCTAACCCATTCCGCCCGGTCGTCGCAGAGGAAGAAAGGAATATCTGATTTAGGAAGTAGTGGTTGATCGGTACCTGGAAGTGGAGGTAGATGGGAAGCCCCCAGCTCCGCATTCGGTTGCCGGAATTGATAGAACTCAGCCACCATATTCAGCTGTTCGTGATTCCCAAATTGATGGATCAGCTCGTCGACGAATTGCCTCCAAACCAACGGAAAGCGCCCGAAAGACCACTCCTCGAACCATGTACGAGCTCTCCCTTCCAGATAGTACGAAACCAAGTCGACCTTCTGCTCCTCCGGAATTGAGTAGAGCAGAAAAAACTTGGAGCACTTGCTTACCCATTCATGAGGACCAGTTCCAGAAAAGTAAGAGAACTCAAGTCGAGGATAATGATCCAGCAACGTCGGACGCAGCTGCGGCAGGCGGAAGTGGTGGTGCTCGGAGAGATGGCTGTGATTCCCGTTCGGCGGGGAAAGGATCGAAGATTTCTCTCGGAGGTGCGTCAAGGAAGCAGTGATGGCGGTGATGCTCTCTCCCGTTGGAGAAGGAACCTGGGGGTCTGTGGCCGAATCATGCTGCCCGGAGAAGGGGGGAAAAGGAACCCACACATGAGGATCCCGAATCGACGGTTGCGGCGATGACGGACGGAACTGCCGTTGCTCAGCGAACTGATTGGGATTCTCATGCCATGAAGAACGGACCGGAGAATTGGTCCGCCGCTGCTCTAACGAAGCAGTGAGGGTGTCGATTTTGGCCTTCGTCGAAGCAGCCAGCGCGGCAATGGCGTCCTTCAGCTCCTGGTGTTGAGAAGCCATCTTGAGCTGAACAGCCGCCATTGTGTCTCCAAATCAACGATTCTCGCTGTATTAGTCGCCATTGGTGCCAGATGACAGGCTCTGATTACCACTTGTAAGGATCTTTATTGATGAATCTGGCGAAGGAATGGAACGAAGAAGAAGATACAGAAGAAGGGAAAGAGTTCTGGAATTCAAGCTAACTAAACTGAAAGAGTAGAGTAGATACAGTTTGTTTATTGGGTAAAAGATGACCACAGTAAAGAAGGCCTTCCTATTTATACTGAATGGCTCTCTGTCCACGTCACTACCAGTGTCTTCCGGGTTGTTACATCTGCATCCCGATGTGATTCTTCTTCTGAAACGACGGCAGTAGGCGACTCTTGGTTGGTTGCCAAGAGGATGGCGGGAGAGGAGTAGTTTCTTTCCTACCCCTGTTTTCGGTTTGGGTATTTCTTGACCTCGACATTCTTTTCCGGAATTGAAGTGACAACAGGGAAACTTCATCCTTGCCACCCGGAAGGAACCCTTCATGTTACCCAGGTACCTCTTCGGCTCTTCCTTTCTCTTCTTTGCAAGTTGCTTGGTTATGGAAGGCGCCCTAATTTGAATGGTTCCATGGACATGATATGATTCTCTCGGCCTCAGTAAGTCAACGGATAGGAGCATACTCCAGTGTTCAGTTGGCCACAAGAGGCCGATGAGTCGGTAGCTTTCTCTGTAGTGGGCAAGCGGAGCATTCACCTTTCTGGGTACATTGCGACTGAAGAAAGAGATTATCTTCCTGATGGGTATGAGTCGTATCCTTCTGATTCGTGCATCATTAAAGCTTTGTTGTGGGACGAATCTGTGAAAGAAACCGTTTAGTGTCTGTCTGAGCATGTGTGCTGTTGTTGTTCGTCCATAATTTGATATCAGTGATACAAGAGAGGATATAGGGGATGCAGAATCAGATGATGAATCCAGTGAATTTGGTTGTCATGATGATGAGGATGCCAATTGTGATTTCAACATGTTCCATTCTTCTCCGGTCATAGATAGTGGAGGTATGGCTTTTCTTTTGGTTAACAAACCACTTGGTTGACTGTGCTCCACCTTCAGAAGGGGGGAATTTGGACTTGTGGCGTGATTTTGACTTCCAATATAGTTGTGATTGAGGAGATAGAAGGTATGAACTTTAATGTGTCTCTAATGTAACCTATACTTTCTTCCTTTTCCTCTGTAGCTAGAACAGGAAAAATGAATGTTGCCAATATTTTATGATCTCTGTGAAGGGAATTTGAGGTCGATGATGGAAGTGCACCCATCAAAAGTGCTTCTAAGAAGAACAAGAAGAAAAAGAACAAGAAACATGTTCCAGGGGTGACGTCAGATAGAGCAAAGTCTTCCTTTGATTCTGATCAGAAGCAATCTGCTTCAGAGACTCTACCCTTAAGATGGACTGGTCATTGAGGATTTAGCTTATGGAAAACCAGATGGTGAAATAGATTCTCCCGAATATCTGGTACGCTTTTCTTAAACCAATCTATCTTTCCTAACACGCTAAAGACCAAGTTGTTGATTCTGGCAGTATTTTCTGGGATGGCCATGCCTTGGTCAACAGGTCTGGATTTACCATACCGGCAGACTACAGAAGGATGGCACGATTTTTATTATAACCATGGAATTGGATTTAGATTCCTGCTAGGTACCTCGAAATCTCTGATATATGGGACACAGTCATAAAAGGAATTGATATCGGTATGAAAGGTAGATCACTTCAAAGCTTATTGTTATTTGATCACAAGCTCCTAGCTGGTTGAATCTCAAGTTGCTGTGCTCATGAGTTGTTTCTGAATCTCTCAGGCATGAGAATTGGGGACAAAAGAAGAATCACGATCCCTCCTAAACTAAAACTGGGGTAAATCATAAATCCCTGCTTCTTGAATCTTGCTCGTTATCTTGAACAATGTTTGGACTTCTTTAAGTGATGCATGCTGCTCTCGAAGCTGTGAGACAACTGACATTGTTTAATAATGTGGACTCTGTGTGCAGCTATGGACCTAAAGGTGCTGGAAACATGATACCGCCGAACGCGTGTCTCGTATTCGATGTGGAGTTGATGGTTATCCCTTGATCGAGATGGACAAATTGTTTTGGTCGTTCTCTCATAGCTGTCGATTTGGTATGGTGAGGATTCAGGGCGGCGGTTGATGGGATAGTTTCGTCTTCGTCCAGCTTTTGAGTTAGCTACAACTGTTTTTAATGAGTAAAGTGTAAAGATTAGGAACTACATAACATAGATCTCGAGAACTAGGGATAGCAACAAAATCCGAACCCACGGGTACCCACCCGACCCAACCCGGTCAACGCGGGTAAAAACAGTGTTGACGGGTTTTGGGCCGGGTTCGGGTTTAAACCCGCTACACTATTCACCTGGTCGGGTTGAGTTTGGGTTTAGGTAAACCCGCCCCATGGGTACCTGACCATAGACATATAATTATTTTCTCGGTATATTTTTTTTGATAAGGGTGATATAGGTTCATTTTGTTGCTATTAAGGTACTACTTAAGGGATTCGAACCTGGGACCTCCAGGTTCTAGGCTAGTGGTGTTACCACTAGGCCAAGCCCTTGTTCGTATTTTCTCGGTATATTTAATATTCTAAATAATATATCTTCCTTAAACAATTAATATTCTTTATGTTTGTGGAGACATATATAATTTGTTGTTTCTAATTGTTTAGAATGAAGTTAATATTATGAAGTGGAGAGTGAAGAAACTTAGTTGACGAGTAAAAAGCTTTCAATTAATCTTATTGTTTATAGATGTTTATCTTTAATGTTGAACAATTTGTATTGATCATTTGCAGTTTGCTTGTATGCTCTAGATTGGTGTTTTTTGTATGAATAATTTGTATGAGAAAATTAATGTTAAACTTTTATTTTGAAAGAAACTTGTTATTGTAAATTTTTTACCATAAAAACCCACGGGTACCTACGAACCCGGATACCCAACGGGTTGGGTTGAGTTTGAGTTTTTCAAACCCAACGGGTTTTACCCCAGGTTTTTTTGGCAGATAAACCCATGGGTTTGGGTTTGGGTTTAACAAAACCCGCCCCATTGCCATCCCTCGAGAACTTGGGTTTTAGATAACGAGAGACTGCCTCAAATCTTAGTTGGATTGGAGGAAAGATTTTGTGGACAGGAAATCTTTCAATCTCAAAGTCTGCATGTTTTCGACATTCAAACATCACAGATTCCATATTACTCTCTTGTGGAAATGTTAGAAAAAGAATCAATGTATCCTTTAACAGAACGGTACGGATTGTAAAATTATATTGATAATATGCTTATATTATGATTTAACTATATCATACCGTTAAAATCTTTTACCACCTTAGACTCGGATAAACAATTTTTTTGGTCGGATTGCCAATCCAGTCGTTGCATCATCGCACTACACTTTGTCATCTAGAAACACTAATATGATACATCTCTCAACGAAAAATGGTAAATTACAAGTTTTGGTCACTAAATTTATTAAATTACTTCACGTTTGGTCACGTTTGGTCATTGAAAGTAATTCATTTAATTCAGGATCTCTAAAGTTAATTCAACAATTCAAGTTTGATCACTGACTGTCCAACTTCGGTTATTTTGTCTAATATGCAATCAACCATCATAGTTAAGAGTTAAAATGCGTGACCATAATTTTGCACTTTGTGACCGTCCAACTCCGTTAATTTTGATCACTTGTATAACCATAAGAGTTGATTTTGAGCACTTGTACAACCATAACTTTGCACTTTGTGACCATTATATCCAATTTAACGTCCCAAGTCTGGAAACATGCTACAAAAGGGGCAAGCAAAAGATGAAGAAAATTGGAGGGCTAGTACATAGAGCAATCAATCTATTGTGAAAGCTATATATGATCTGAAGACTGAAATCTACCAAATAAACCTCTGGAGGCCAGGTTCATGACTCCATTGAAACGGACGGAACAAGAACATGGTCATTGTGAAAGCATTGATGGCGGTATACACGAGACCCATCAGCATCAAACTTCTGTAGCTGATGGAGGAGTGGAGCATCAGGAAAAAGAATGGCAAGGTGTAGTATCTCAACTCGATTAGAGGAGCAGGAACAAGTACTGCTGCTGTCGCCAAGAAATATGCTAGAACCCATACTCTTGGTCGAACTTTCCCTGACAAATATACATAGAATAACAAAATGACGAACTCAGACCTGCTTGAGGGCAGAAGCAGAACATAAAGCAAGAACTGAGTTGGAAGCTAGAATAACCAACACCGACCTAGCGTCCTGAAGATTGAAAACCAGGAGTAGATGTAGAAAGGAACAAGAAAGTATTTCCCCAACTGGTGAGCGTTGACAACCTTCCGCCAGAGGTAGAAGGTGTAGTGTCGGTTGTCAGCTAGAAGATACGGGTGAGCTATGCTGTAAAGAACAATCAAACTCTATCAGGCAGACGGCTATAGGACAGACTAGAAAGATAAAGGATTCAGCTTGGCATGCATATCACTCCGTTGAGAGTTTTTGCACTGCTTTTGCAGCTGGTACATGATTGACATGTATATAACTTAAGTCAAGAGTTTATTTCTAACTGTTACAAATAAGTATGGTATAACTTTTGTATCCATTTTGGGGCATACTATGTTCATCTGAAGCTAACCTGAAAAGGTGCACAGAGAGGAACCCAGCTGCCAGAGCAATAAGCCATTGACAAAAACTTAGGGTACCCTTCTTCCAGGACCACCAGAACAGGGCTACACAATGACTCAGTGAGAAATGCAAAGGAGCTGCAGCAAGAGCAGAGATTAGACTAAAATACATTAGTTGGGCAAAATGAGGAGACACAGTGTGAGCTTCTTTTGCACCTGCAAAAATAATGACACGAGTGAGCAAAAAATTTCCTGGAACCTAAAACAGAATTCATTATTAAATGAGTAGTACCAAGGACCACGCTGCCATTCCAACGGACAAAAGCAACAAAAGCCACCAATACCATGAGGAAAGGGGTGAAGGACAATAAAATCCTCCACTTCATTAGCCATGATTTCAAACAGATTGTTCGAATCTCGTCAAGGAAACCTTCAAATAATGAAGGAGGTGGTTAGTTGGCACATAAAATACTATTGCTCGAAAATCTAGTCGTGCAGAAGATAACCTGTGGAATTGATTATTACAGAGGCATTTCTAACAAGCACCGGAGTTTTATCACTCTCCACGGCATCATTGAACTTTCTTCTTCTTCTCATGTTTCCAGCTGTAGCGGCATGATAGTTCGAAACTACCTCAATGGTGTCATCTCCTGAGCTCAAGTCTACTATTTCAGTTTCCTTTATAAGGGGCGAGGTAATATCTATTACTCCACTGCATGCAACAAAAACTACCCATACAATGTTTGTCTGTCGAGTGAAAACTGAAAACGCACCAAGCTGTCAAAACACCAAAGAGATGCTTACTTCAGATGCATATATCATGAGCATCACTGAAGGAATGCAATTGTCGTACAACACACATATGACAGGGAACAGACAAATTTGAACAAAGTGCTGTTTACCAGGGCACTGAAGAAGTACTTCTTCTTTAAACAAGCAAGGTACATTGCCAGCACCATCGTAAGCGATGCAACATCTGTATAGTAAAGGAAAGTGAAGAACCAATGAAGAGGGTAGAGCGCCAGGACAACAGACAGAAATGTTGCTTTCCTTTCACCAAGAGCAGGTCTCACGCAGGTAATTATGTCATAGATAAGAACACTGCACAAAACAGCCAACACAACGTTCGTGGACCGAAGGATTGAAACCGAGCACCACTCAAAGTACTGAGATGATACACCTTCCACAGCATACACGCCTGGAAAAAAAGAAGCAACATGCGCAAGTGAGAGATAGTACCTGCAAAATTTGTGCAAACCCATCAATCTTTCTGTCATCTTCAACTTGAACCAAATCAAGCAATGCAACAAATTGCCCAACACGGCAACACCCCATAAATTTGCAACAAATGAGAAACACCAGAATTCACCAAAACTTCAAAATTCAAGAAGAGTTATTGAACTTACAAGCCAGGAGGGGTAGTTATCATCGGATCCCAACTCAAGAAATTGCCCTTGCAGTACTGCTGCGCCTGTGGTATGTGGAATATCTCATCCTGCGCCGAGAAAGCAAAATGAGGGCTCTTTAGAGACGGTGAGATAATCGCAATTTGGCTGCCGAAAGAACGAGCTTTTTGTAAAAGAAAGGTCGGAGATCGGCTTATTCATTTTATAGCTTCGCTTTCCATTTTACCATGTAAGGCGCGGTCACGATCCGATTGACGACGATGGATACTGGAATCGCCCATGAGCTCACTATCAACGCTACTGCTAATTTCCCCATCTATTGAACCCTTCGCTGCTCTTACACTAAAGGAGGAGCGACATCCCAAAAAAGGCAACGAGGGATTGTTCTAAGCTCCGGGGAGCGAAAATTGTAAACTTTTCATCCTTCAAGATCCAACTCTCGATTGGGTAGAAAAGAATTGATCAAACTCTCGTCAACCCAGTGCGTGGAATCTGGATGGGGTGCGTTCTGAATTCGATAGCCAAGAGCCAACTAACCACTGGTCTTGGGTATCGCCGTATCGGCTGGGCCTGTCTTTCAGAACTGCAAGTCGGGGTTCCTAATATTTTAATTTTGTACTCTTGGTTTATTAACCTCATTTTATTATTTCTTATTCATATATTTATTCTTCATTTAAAATACGAAAAATCATGATCAATACCGTAGTGGTAATTCTTGTTAGGTTTGTTTCAAAGTCGTAACTCAATTACAATATCACAAATCCAAATACTTCGTTATATATAGGGCTGGGAAACGTTGCGATCTGTCCAGACCATATAAACATCTGTGGTCCAGATCGAGAGGGTAGAAACAGAGACCATGGAGCAGACCATAAACTATACGGTCCAGACCATACCACGCCTGTGCGGTGCGGTCCAGTACGGTCTGGACCAAGTGGACCATGTGTCAACAAAACGTGTATTATCCAATGCTAAATATTAGCTAGTAACTAAAAGAAACACATTAACCTTTTTTTTTTATGAGGATGATGAACTTTTATTAAAGAAAGGGAAAGGGGAAAGGATATACAGAGGGAAGTAACACTTCACAAGCAGTGAAGATGTGCGAAGTTCAGGACCGAGCAAGGTCAAAGAAAAGAAAACAAGACAAACATACATAAACAAGGAACTTGACTCTTCTACCGTCACTCTAGAAAATGGCCAAGTGCAACCACCTCCTAAAGCGTAGTATAGCGGGTTTGGGTTTTAATGTCAACCGGGTCCTAAGTGTGATGACTACTCCGTGAATTCTTATTATTTAGCAGTGAAAGTGTAGTGAAGGTCCAAACAAGCAAACAAGCAAAGCAGTTAAAGGTTGTTTTCAAGATTGAGAGAGGTCACCCGGATATGGTTCCCCCTGGATTGCAGTTAAGCCGGATTGTAATTTACCAAGTTCAAGTTCAATGATAGTTATACTACGGGAGGTTCTTAAACAGTCTGCAGTCTCGACTAAAGGTCTCCAGGCCCTCTCAATCTGAGTCCCCAGCGGGCGACTAATCTCCACCGGAGTAAACAGATTGAGGCCCTAACAAACCAAACCTCAACTACCGAAGTAAATTCGGTACAGAATAGTGAATTGACTCCTCGACTAAAGTCGTCAATTCACTACCTTCAATCAATGGTGCTCTATCAACCTAGCCCGATATTCTCTTTCTAGGTTAAAGCAGAAACAACAGGAATTTGATCAGGATTCATGTCATTCAAGAAATCAAACCTCAATTAAATATAATCAAATCACTGAATTCGTACTTGGGTTCATACAATCATACCTAACATACAAATTTATGGTTCTTCATACCCAGGTGAATAAGAAAGTTACTCCATAGAGAGAGATGGGAAATCTAACTCAGATGCGGAAACCATACTGTGAAGGATGAAATTCTGCTTCTGGCAATCAATCGGCACTTCTCCAAGCTCAAGCCGGGCTCCAATGGTGATGGAGATCGATCAAAGACACTTGAAGAATCAGGTTCGTCACTTTCTCTCTGTAGGTATACGCTTTTTCTCTCTAAAACTCAGAACCCTTCACTTTTGCCCTTCTTTTCCCTTAAGAAGCTGTCAATCGCGATCCCCGGTCTGAATACCCGGTCGGGTATTTTAGGTGGAGACCCGTGATTCTTAAAACGCACCATCGAGGACAGGGGGTTAATCCCCAGTCAATATCAAGAATATCCGACCAGGCCCCCTTCTGCTTCTCAGACGCCCAAAAGTCCTTTTCCCCGGTCTGCTCCGATTAATACCCGGCCGGGTATTTTTGCTCATGGCCGGGTATTTTGCTCCTCCAGCACACTTCAACTCAAACGTGCTCCTTTCACCCGAAACTCGTTTCTTCGCCTCGATGTCAACACCAAGCCCTGAAATATTATATAAACGCAAACCTAGCGTGAAATCGGCTTAAAACACAAGAATCAATATCTCAAACGACTCAAGAATAGGGGTAAAAACATGTGCAATCAATGAGCGCAAGCAATGAGCGCAAAGCATCGCATCCAGCGAGAGCACCAAAACAAAGCAGACTGACACTGGCAGGAAAGCACTGATGAGGTCATCAAATCCAAACACACTCAAGTTGAAGAGCCAATGACTCGAGCTAGGGCTAAGGCATTTCGGGATCAAATTGCAAGTTATTTGGCTAAGGAGTTGGAGGGCTTAAGCTTGGATTTGCTAGAAGGGAAGTCCATCACACTATTGAGCTATGTTGATCACGAGATTGGGCTCAAAGGGAGGGAAGGAGGGTCGGCCATGGAGAAGGAGTCTCAAGGAGTGAATGGAATCAACAATGGATAAAGATCATGGTGTGAACACAAGGTGTGAAAGGAATTTCAAGAGTGAACACAAAGGGGGGGGGGGGGATTTGAAGGCTAGGTTCAAGGGTAGTTGTTGACTTAGTCTTTTCCTTGTTTGTTAAGGTTTTTGTTTTCCTTTTACAAGTAGGATTTGTTTTTCCTTAGTTGTTTTGTGTTTAGATTCGTGGGTCTATAAATAGGAGTCTAACCAATGTATTTTTCATTCAAGTTTCAGCAATCAAATACAAGTGTTTACAAGTTCAAGTGAACGTTTTGCTTATTCGCTCCTTTGAGGATTCGGGAGGTTTGAGTGGTCTCTTATCAACTAGAGAACGCGTCTAGTTGTGGCGAGCATCGACTATATCGGTTGGCCTTATCCACAGGTTCGAGATTGTTTGGTTGATTTAATATACCAACTGGCCCTTCTCACGAGTTAGGAACTGTTTGATCGATTTCCCGACTATCATCTATTTTCCTGTTAAAGAAGAAAGAAGAAAACCCCAAAAGAGTTCGACATTGCGCAATTCTGATTTTTGGTCCAAGTTTGGGTGGATTCTCGAATTAGGATCATATCAAGTGGTATCAAGAGCCCGGTTCAAACGCAGCGGAGAAGACAAAGATTCTTGGAAGTCTTGAACGTCAAGAAAGCAAATCTTGAACGCTCTTGAGAGTTTCTTGTGTGGCAAGGAAGGTATCTTGAAGACAAAGCATTCGTGGGGTCTTCTTTAGCAAGAAACCATGGCGGAACAAGCACAAGATGTGGTGGCACAACTTCAACAACTCGCTGCACAACTAGCTACGGTACTTCAAGAACAAAGGGAGACAAGGGCACAAGTTGAGGCATTGCAAAGACGTGATCAAGAGCAGCCTCAACCACGAGAACAAGAGCCACCCCAAGGCGAGTTTGCAAACCCTAGCCCTAGGGAACGATGAGAAGAAAGGAGAGTTGTTCGAGCTGTTCAACGTCCAATGTTTGAGAATGTTCATCGACATAGGCATTGGGAGGGCATCGTGGTGCAAGGAGGGACTTCCCCTTCTATGACGAGGAAGGGTATGAAGAATACGAGTATGATGGAGGTGCTTACCGAGATGATGATGATCTACGAGGATTGAAGATAACCGAACCATCTTTCAAAGGGACAATTGATCCAGAAGCTTATCTCGATTGGGAACGCAAGATGGAGCTGATTTTTTATAATCAAAACTACTCGGAGAAGAGGAAGGTGGCGATGGCTACCATTGAGTTTACGGATTATGCCCTAGCATGGTGGGAACAATTGAGCACGAAGAGATAGGCGCAGGCCTATTGAAACATGGGATGAGTTGAAGGCAATCATGAGAGATCGATTTGTTCCAGCCTATCATCAACGGGAAATGCACCAAGCATTACAACTTCTTCGACAAGGCAACAAGAGTGTTGAGGATTACTATCGAGAGATGGAGTTGTTAATGATTCTAGCTGATGTTCGTGAAGATAGGGAAGCTACCATAGCTCAATTTCTACATGGCCTTAATCGAGAGATTCGTAATGTCGTGGAAATTCAACAATTTGTGGAGGTAGAAGACTTGGTGGCTATTTGCAGCAAGGTGGAGAGGCAACAAAAGAATAGGAGGTTTCTATCCTCTACAAGTACTACAAGGCCTACACTAGCACCTACAACAAACCCTAGGCCGAGTGTTCCTACAAGAGAAGCACCAAAACTCGGGCCAAAGGTGGAGACTCCAAACCCCAGCACCAAACAATGTTCATCTTCAGGTAGAATTCAATGTTTCAAGTGCCATAGACGAGGGCATATGGCAAACCAATGCCCAAACAAAAGAGCATTGATCTTATTGGAGAATGGTGAATATGTGTCCGATGGTGAGTAAGAAGAAGCACTAGAAGAGAAGGGTACATCAGATTCTGAGGTAGATGAGGCCCTTGAGATGGAGACACCCCCAGGCAGATTATGTGTAGCTCGAAGGGTATTGAGCATCCAACCAAAGGAGGAGCTTGAGAAACGGGAGAACCTCTTCCATACAGGTGTGTAGTGGATGGGAAGACCCTTTTGGTTGTGATTGATGGAGGGAGCTGCACCAATGTGGTTAGTGCTAGTTGTGTGAAGAAGTTGGGGTTGAAAACAACGATTCATCCAAAACCCTACACTCTTCAATGGCTCAATGAATATGGGTCAATCAAAGTGGCTAAACAAGACTTATTGAAGTTCTCCATTGACAAATACAAGTATGAAGTAACGTGTGATGTGGTGCCAATGCAAGCGGCTCATGTTCTCTTTGGGAGGTCGTGGCAGTTTGATTGAAGTGCTCAACATGACGGCGTCACCAATAAATACACGTTAAAGCACCAAGGTAAGAAGATAGTATTGAAGCCTCTATCTCCTAGAGAAGTGTATGAATCAATTACAAAAGCAACAAATTCGAGAGGAAGAGAAGAAGGCTCAATCCGCAAGGGGTGCAAAGAAGGGTTCGAGTAGCTTGGAGTCCAAGGCATTGATGCTAGCTCGACAAGGAGACATGAAGCAAGCCCTCTATGACCGAGTTCCTATGATTATTGTCCTATACAAGGGATTGCTACTCAACCAAGAGCTGATTCAAGAGGTACCACCTAGGGCACGAGTGGTACTAGAAGAGTTTGAGGATGTCTTTCCGAAGAAGCACCAAAGGGATTACCTCCAATCCGCGGGATAGAGCATCAAATTGACTTCGTTCATGGGGCTACCATTCCAAACAAGACAGCCTATAGGACGAATCCAGA